GCTTCGCGAATACATTCGTTGAATCAAGAGACGCTTCGTTTTTTGAATATGTATTTTCCTACAAGACTCGGATAGAATTAGATCCAAGTGGTATGGAATCTCAAAGAATTCATGAATCTTCTAAGCAATTAGATGAAGAAGATGAAGAGCCTAGAAGAAGTAAAAGGGCAAAGAAACCGACTTCTTTTGGATCTGATTATCTAACGTTTATGTTGGATAAAGAACCACAGACATATCAAGAGGCTATGTCATCTCCCGAAACTCCTTATTGGAAGGAAGCAGTGAAGAGTGAGATTGAATCAATCAGACAAAATCACACTTGGAACTTGTGGATCTTCCACAAGGATGCAAACCATTGGGTTATAAATGGGTCTTCAAAAGAAAGATGAAACCGGATGGTTCTATTGAAAAATACAAGGCGAGACTTGTAGTCAAAGGCTATAGGCAAACTGAGGGTGTCGATTACTTCGATGTTTACTCTCCAGTCGCTCGGAAAACATCCATAAGGTTTATTATAGCCTTGGCAGCCTTACATAATCTAGAATTACATCAGATGGATGTAAAGACTGCATTTCTAAATGGTGAACTGGAAGAAGAAGTATACATGCTTCAACCTGAAGGGTGCAGAGTGCACGGACAAGAGGGAAAAGTGTGTAAACTTGTGAAATCATTGTATGGACTACTTGGGAACTTGTGGATCTTCCACAAGGATGTAAACCATTGGGTTATAAATGGGTCTTCAAAAGAAAGATGAAACCGGATGGTTCTATTGAGAAATACAAGGCGAGACTTGTATTCAAAGGCTATAGGCAAACTGAGGGTGTCGATTACTTCGATGTTTACTCTCCAGTCGCTCGAAAAACATCCATAAGGCTTATTATAGCCTTGGCAGCCTTACATAATCTAGAATTACATCAGATGGATGTAAAGACTGCATTTCTAAATGGTGAACTGGAAGAAGAAGTATAAATGCTTCAATCTGAATGGTGCAGAGTGCACGGACAAGAGGAAAAAGTGTGTAGACTTGTGAAATCCTTGTATGGACTTAAACAAGCTCCAAAACAATGGCATGCGAAGTTTGATAGCGTAATGTTGTCAAATGGATTTCGAGTCAACGAGGTTGACAAGTGCATATATGTCAAAGGTAACGAGACATAATTTGTGATTATCTGTCTTTACGTAGATGATATGATCATCACTGGTAGTAGTGATAAAGTGATTAAATCTACGAAAACCATGTTATCAAATTACTTTGACATGAAAGACTTGGGAATAGCAGATGTAATACTTGGTATGAGAATTATCAAGACACAAGACGGTTATTTATTATCCCAAAGTCACTATATAAAACAAATCTTAGAGAGATTTGACAAAGATGGAAATTTTGTGGTCAGAACTCCAATTGATGTTAATTCTCATTTGAAAAAACATCACGGTGAGAGAGTTCAACAATTAGAATATTCCAGAATCATAGTAAGCTTGATGCACCTTATGAATAGTACAAGGCCGGATATTGCTAATACCGAGAATAGGCTTAGCAGATATACGAGCAATCCGAGTTGTGATCATTAGAAGGCCATAATTAGACTCCTTAGATATCTAAAGTATACTGAGAATTATGGACTGCATTATACAAGATATCCAGCAGTATTAGAAGGATATTATGATGCGAACTGGATCTCAGATTCGAATGAGAATAAATCCACAAGTGGATATATATTCGTTGTTGGTGGAGGTGCTATTTCGTGGAAATCCTCTAAGCAAACGTGTATTGCAAGATCCACTATGGAATCTGAATTCATAGCTTTAGACCTTGCTGGTGGGTGGCTTCGAAACTTTCTTGAGAATATTTCTATATGGCCTAAACCGGTGTCTGGAATTTGCATACATTGCGATAGTCAGTCTGCAATAGGAAGGGCAAAAAGCCATGTTTATAAGGGAAAGTCGCGACACATCCGCAGACGACATAACTCCGTTAGAAAATTACTAACAGATGGTGTCATATCTATTGATTTTGTGAGATCAAAAGATAATTTGGCTGATTCTCTGACCAAAGGCCTTAACAGAGATCATGTGGAAATATTATCGAGGGGAATGGGATTAAAGCCTATAGAATGACAAACCACCATGATGGCAACCCAACCTATCTGGACAAACCACCAGTGTTAGGTTCAATGGGACAACCGAATTGTGGGGGGGTCGATGAGATCGCTCGAGACTGATGTCTCTTCACATTCCTATGATAAGAGTGATACAAATTGGGAAGGTTGAGTTTATACTCTTAAAGATTCTCTTATCTCCTACGACAGTGGAGTATATTGAGATACTCTCAAAGAGAAATCTCCTATATCAAATATGAAGTGGGTGTTGGGTTTCCTGGGATCTCATGAGCGAATCCTATTCCTAAGAGATCGATTCTAGGGTTTGCGCAGCGGATATAAAACAAAAATTTAATAAACCCTAGAACCATGCTTCTAATGAATCGTAGAAACGTTAGAACGCTTACCTCAATCGATCCGGGGCCTATATCAATCGAAGAACACGTCTGATCACGAAAGGGAGGAAGATTACCTCGCCCTCTACACGTATCCACACTTCGGGATGGATTCCAACGCTTGGAACTTGTCTGCTAGGACTCGAATCCGCTATTCGATTTGTGCTTCGAGAAAAACGGACTTTGATCACACTCTCAATCTCTTGGATCTCTCCAAAAATCTGCAAAGAGTGTTCTGAAGTCGGCTCTTTTTCTCTTTTTTCATTAGGGTTTTTAATCTCCCTTTTATAAAGTGATTTAACCCTAATTTCGGTTTAATTTCGGAAACACTGAAGCCCGGAACAGACGGTCCAGAAATGCACGTGGACCTTCCTTTCCAGCACGTAGAACGGACGGTCTGCTCACGTGGACCGTCCGTTCCAGACTTTCTGGAACGGACAGTCTGTTCTGGACCGTTGGGTCTGGCACGGCGGACCGTCCGTTCCGGACTTCTGGTCCGTCCGTTCCAAACCCTTCCGTCTCGGTTTTTCCGTCGTTTTCTCGCACGCTTCGTCCTTCCCTGCGTGTGTGACCCTGTAGGCTCATTCGATATAGCAGTATAACCCGAAATTTCGGATATACAAGTCATAGGCGGTCTCTAGCAAGACACTATGACTACATATCTCGAATAGAGTTTGTTCGTGATAGATGATTCCGGTTGATGATCCTCTTGTATCACGATATCATATGTCGAACATAAGGCATGGACAAGCCACCTTATCTGATTCGACTGCTTTCTCGTTCACTGAGTTCGACTGTCTGAAATAGACGACGTTCGTCTATAGTGCGGCCACACATTTCTACAGTCTCGCTCACACGAGGGGCCCAGCGATATCTCTCTCTTTTACGAGAGGTACAAATCCCGTCTTGACTATCTACAATCCAGTACATGATTCGTTTCGTACCTGATACACGCCTTTATAGTTCTCCTGTTACGCAGAACGTTTGACGTATTCAAAGCACGCAACTCCTCATGTTGGATTCCGTAGATATCTCAGGTCTTAGGATACAATCATGGAACCGCCATATGAGATTCAAGTCATGACGCTAGTCCATGTGACAATCTCATGCGGGTCAATCCAGTATTCCGTTCTCCAACGAATACCTATGACTGTGATCGTATCCAATACTTATGATCATCTCTATGATCATCAATCACACATCATACTAGTCTTATTATGTCGTTATTCCCATAACGACACAAGACTAGGGAGTTTAGTATCATTCATAATGATACATGGATTTCATAACAGATCTAGTATGCAAGAACATGTAATGAATCAAATACTCTCATAAAACCATAGAAAGTATCAATACATCGAATGTATCTAAATAAAGCTCATGAACAGTATATCATAGAGCACTAAACCAACAGTGGGCCGCTTCTATGAGAATGACATAAGGGTTAGTTCTCTAGAGTATTTGATGAAATCTACCAGATGCTGTCCCAGAGCCATAATGGGCGCAACAAATGGACTAATGAGAGAGAGAGGTGGTGCTGCGTGAGTACTGTTGTCTTGGTGTATACAAAAGCTGAATAGTTTAAGACATCGCGTTCACTGTTTAACAAGTACGTGGGCCGCTTCTATGAGAATGACATAAGGGTTAGTTCTCTAGAGTATTTGATGAAATCTACCAGATGCTGTCCCAGAGCCATAATGGGCGCAACAAATGGACTAATGAGAGAGAGAGGTGGTGCTGCGTGAGTACTGTTGTCTTGGTGTATACAAAAGCTGAATAGTTTAAGACATCGCGTTCACTGTTTAACAAGTACATCCGATAGTATTTCACTACGGAAGGTTCAAAGATAAAACTACCTTTCCGAATACAGTAAATTCTCTATGAGTAAATTTTGCATTGCACATCATTTGCATACAATGCACTAGTTGCATGAGATGCATTTAGGTTCACCTGACTCAATGCTCTATTTTGATTCTTGTGGGGGATTGTTGGATTTGGGTTTATTTGATAGAATCAAAACGGGCCTACCCCGTGAGAAGCCCGGTCCGTATAAAGTTTTAGAAACTTTAAATCTGAGAATATTAAGAGAATATTCTTGTTTGAATTTGAAATTCAAATTCAAATTGGATTCAAATCCGCAGAAAATCTATCAAATATGATTAAGATAAGATTGAGATAATATCAAGATAAAATCAAATTTGAATTTTGAAATTCAAATTTATTTATTTTGAGATTCTCCTCTCTACTATAAATAGGGGCTTTGGGTTAGCTCATAAAACACACAGAAAAGAAACAAGCATTCTAGAGAAAAAAGAGCATTCACATATTTGCTCATATCTCTCTCTGAGTTCGTTTGGTATTTGGAAAGCTTCTTCCAAATACGTGGTCGTTGTATCCTGGGAGTTCACCATGTTCCAATAGCCTCGAAGCTTTAGAGGTGGCACGGAAATCGAACTTAAGAAAACTGTGTTTCACAGGCCTCGACAAAATATTCTTTTAATTTCAGGTACTTATCTGGAATCGCTCGAATTGCTGGAGTTTTGCGGTCGTCAACAACCGCCGTCTCCAACAAATTGATGGGTCAGAGTAAATTTTGCAGGCAGAGAATTCTTCATTTCATGTTGTTAATGCACTATGACTAGGATTCAACCCTAGAGACAACCTTGTAGTGCTTTTCTCCCATATCATTCCATGGTTGTCCTTTCTTGCCCACATGAGATCTTATCTAACGATTTTAGATCTTGTTCCATATCGTCGGTCAGCGTAATTACTCGGTTCACACATTTTACAGCCTGCTTTATTGAAATTTGATTGGACTTGTTAATTAACTCAACATAATTTATAGAGATGATTGATGTAGGAGTTCATGGGACGGAATCTTCTCGCGTTGAATGTTATGTGGAAGTACAGGGAGCAGGTATATATGTGGATTCTTCTGGTGTTTGCAACGTAGGATCAAATTTATATTCCACGTTCTCTTCTCGTTTTTCGATAAAAGGAGCAACAAGAATCAGGTTCCGACTTTTGAATGTTCGTCATGCTCGTAACTCTAATGAACTGTTCTTTTTATTCCGTTTGTATCGTGTATAGAGGTCCTTTCCTCTAACCGAAGAAGAATACATACTGAGACTTGATGACGTTGCTAACACGTTGAAATGCTGGGGAGCTGTGTCGCACATCCGTAACAGCTTAGCAAAGTCGAAGGAGCGACCTCGAATAGGGAAGGTGCGAAGAGATCAAACCCATCTAGAATAATAATAATAATAATAATAATAATAATAATAATAATAATAATAATAATAATAATAATAATAATAATAATAATAATAATAATAATAATAATAATAATAATAATAATAATAATAATAATAATAATAATAATAATAATAATAATAATAATAATAATAATAATAATAATAATAATAATAATAAGAAGATGTCCATTTTTTCTCATGTTAGAATCATTTTCTTTAGTTTGAATCCTCTGAATCTTTGGATTATGATGAAGTTTTGATTGGGGTTTCGCACCTTAATACTCTTCGTACAGGCTGTGAGCATTTTCATAGACATGGATGAAACGGGAGGCCGAGCAAATGAATGGATTTACAAGTAGAATTGATCGGTGATGCTTTCAAAATCCATTCCTGGACGGAGAGAAGCAAACGATTTGATCAGTGTTTGCTTCATCAGAATAACAGTTCCACAAGTTTACTTGCATTTTCAGATGGTAATTTCCAGGTCATTCATACATAGCTTCGTGAATACAAGGTGCTCAAGTGCATGCGCTCTTTGTAAAATTTCTGTTGTTGAATATTTTTTGTAATGAATCCTTTGTAACAATAGGCTTGTAAAGAGTTATACTCTTCAAGTCTATCATATGGATAAATACGATAAATACACAAAGATATAAATAAAGGGGTGATGCCCACTGTATCCTAAGTTACAAAAGAATTGACCTCTAATGTACTTTCTATCCTTTCCGAGGGATAATGGTTATCTTACATAATATTATTTTATGTTATTAGCAATACATACACATATGGAGGAACGTGTATGTCACCGAGAGAATCGATACTTACCTCGTTCTTGAAGAAACTTGAAGCAAATCTCGATCCGGATCCTATTCATAATCACTAAGGACTGAAGTTACAGTCCCTCTACAATATTCACACCGACAGAAAGAATTCCAAACACTTTGGAACGTATCTGCTAGGATTTCTGAAGAAAAGGGAACTAAGAAGACGGGATCCAATCCCAAAAGGTTAGAAATTGAATAGAATGGATTCTCTAGGGTTCAAAGGTCTCTTTCTGAGTTTTAGGGGCAACTTCACTAAATTTGGACGAGATTCCAAACTTAAATTAATAGACTGAGAAAACCCTAGATCCGAATTAAGAAAAGTTTCCAGATGCCGATCCGGTGGACCAAGCTTAGTCTAAAACTTTCGGGCCGCCTGATTTATTGATCTTGGTCTGGCGGACTGACTTTTGGTCCGGACCAGACCAAGCTTCTTCTTTGTCCTAGTGGTCTGACGCTCAATTGCCTTTGGTCCGCCTATTCTAGCATCTGGTCTGGAGCTAACCATCTCCTGGTCCGCAGGACCAGACCTGGACAGATGACCATGGGTTGAGTCTGAACTCTCTGGGCTGACCAAACGTGGTAGTTTGGTCAGCCCTGGACCAACATATTGAGAACACTTTCTCATGCTCGTTTTGGTCAATTCTCAATTCTATTCTTCGGATCCTTCACATATAAGTCCATCCCTAGTGGTGTGTGTCCCTAAAGGCCCATTCTAAGTGGCAGTGACTTTGGAAACCTTTCTCGAACCACAAGTTATGGTTAGCCTTTAGCAAGAGCCATGACCGCCGTTATAATCATCTGGTTAAAGATAACGTTTGATGCAGTCAAGACACGCCACTCCTCATATCAGATACTCTAGACATCTCAGGTCTGAGGATCTAAGAACGAACCGCTACATGAGATTCAAGTCATAACTTATGTTCATGTGACAATCTTATTTGGGTGATCTAGTCACTTGTTCCCAACGAGCACCCATGATTGTGATTTGTATCCAATACATCAATCACACCTCATGATGGTCTTAATTCATCATTGTTCCCACAATGACAATTGAACAAGGAGTTTAGAATCATCCTGCAATGACTCAAGGATATCGAAATATAATAAATATGTCAACCATATCACATAAAAGTAATGCATTAATAAACCAATGAATCAATACAAAATCAAAATGTCATATCACGAACGATCCTAAAGCATTACAACCAACTGAGAGGGGATGAAATTGCAGAGGAGATTCTCTCTTCGATGTTGACCCTGAGATGAACACAGAGGAGACTCTCTTCAGCGATAAAGGAATTCGTAGTGAATTACCCAAAATTAGGGTTCATACCGCGATAATGGATACAACCGAATTTTGTAAACAAAATCGGATTTTATTTCTTTTCAAACCGGATTTGGTTTATTAAAAAAAAAAGTTGATTGGTCATAATTTATATTATATATTTTTATTTACATACATACATTATATATATATGTATATAATGTGCATATATATATATGTATTGTGTAAATAGGTCATATATATTTATTTACATATATATTTATTTAATTATATATACATTACATGCACACATATACATATATACACACACATTATATACACATACATATATAATGTATATATGTATATATTATATATACAATATTATACATATATTTGTATGTAATGTATATATGAATATATTTATGTGTGTGTATATATGTATATATGTATATATATATGTATATGTATGTATATATACATACAGGGATGGATCAATGTTTTAGGGAGTGAGATCCAATGCTCCACACTCAAAATTGAAAATACAATATTACTTTGTAAATTTTAAAAAATTTTAGTAAGATTTTAAGAGTACCCCCATTGTAATTTAGATATGGCCCCACCATTTTTATCCTATCAAAACAATCTATTTTTTTCCTTTAGTTTTTAATGTCGTTTATGTTTTGTAAATTTCTCTCCCCCACATCTTCATCATCCTTTCCAAAAATAAAATTATTAACATATTACTATTGTCCCTAGCAAAAAAAAATATGGATCTGCCACTATATACATATATACATACGTTATATATATACATATATATATACACATAAATATATACATGTACATATTTATGTGTATACATTTATATTTATATGTACATATTTATGTGTATACATTTATATTTATATACACACAAATACATATATATATATATATAATATATATATATATATGATGTATATATAATATACATGTGTGATATATATGTACGTATATATATAATTTAAGTGTGTAAATAAATAAATATATATATATATTAGTGTATATATGTATATGTGTATATTTATATATATGTATGTATAAAGATTTGTACATATTTTAAAGATTTTAATTATTTTTTATTTATGATGATGATTATTATTATTACTATTATTATTTTTTATTTTTTTAATATTTTTAAATTATTTTTATTTATTAATTACTTTTTAAATATTTTATTATTAATTATGTGGTATATATATCTTACGTGGACATGAGTTGGAAATGCATTGAACGCGTCGTCATTTATACTACGGAACAGGGGTATATTGATTAATAATTTAAAAGCACGGTATTTTATTGATCAAATAAAAATAGTTCAAGATTTATTTGGTAAGTAAAAAAATACAGAGTTTTTTTGTAAAGTATTAAATTTTTTTCTAATGATATTTCCAATATAAAATTCTACGATTTATTATCATTGATGTCGTTATTATCGCATCATACTCCATTACCATCAAAATATTGTTCTTGAACTTATCAACAAATGCACATCATCATCATCACCACTTGCATTAGCATGCAGCATCTTCATCATTCACCATCATGATGGTTCAACGTCGCACACTATCATCATCGCTTGTTTCTCCCAACAAAACCCTCTTTTAATAACTTGATAACAATTGCCCATTTGTTTTCCTTGAATTTTCAATTAACGATTTAGTAAAACAATCAGTGAATATTATTGATAGTTTTAAAAGTCATTTTAAATAGGACTAAGATTGTAGTATTTAAGACGTCGTTTTTCAGAACATTTTTATGTTTGAGCTTATTACTCAGAAGTTTAAAATATATATTAGATACTTATTAAAATCTATGTTTATTTAATAAATCTCTCTTTTAATAATGGAATGTTTTTATTTCATATCATCAACTAATTATTCCAATTATTCGGAATATTCATGATTATCAAACACATATTTGTAGAAAAATATATGTAGCATAATCATATATATGGATTTATTATATTCAAATAAAAAATCCCATATTTCCCCACAAATTTTCGTTAATGTTCCGAATTCCTACACAAATTTTTAATTTAATAAAAACTTAAACCGGATTTTAAACATTTTCAAAATCTCACATAAAATATTAAAATCTATTACAATTTTTTCCATATCTGTAAACGACGTTAAGTTGTGTCAATTTTAATGGTAACGGGGCACTGAAGTGGCATGCCACATCAATTTTTTTCGACAAATCATTATATTTCGCCAAATCATCATGTCACGTAAGAAAATAAAAAAATAATAAATTTTTATAAAAAATTAAGAATTTTAAGTTTAATTTAAAAAAATGCATATGCATATGATTTAAAAATTTTAAAAATTTAATTTTTTTTAAAAAATACATATACATATATACACAATTATATATATCCACGATTATATACATATAATACACACATATACATCTACATATATATATACAGACATATTCATATGCATATATTCAGATATATACACTCACATATATACATATGTATGTATGTATATATGTATATAATTATATATATGCATATATATACACATATATTTATGTGTATATATTGTTGGGTTTCTTGTGATCTCACTAGTAATTCATAATCATAGAGATCCAATTCTAGGGTTCTTGTAGTGGAAGGTGAAAAACATAAAATTTTCTAAACAAAACCCTAAAACCGAACAAGTATGGTTGTAGATCTATGAAAGAAACATTATTCTCTTCGATCAAGAACTTGTTCAAATAGGCTAGATCACCGATCACAATAAGACAAGAAGAATACCTCACTCTCTACAGGTATCCACACGTCAGAAAGGATTCCAACGGCTTGTTTGCTAGGACCGGAAAACTCGTTCTCCAATGCACAAGGGTTACCGGATCTTTATCAGGGTTTTAGATCTCAAAAGACAACTCAAAAAATCTGAGGAGCCGTGTCTCTAACCTTGGGAGGTGTGCCTCCCAATATAGTCCATAAAAACCCTAATTAGAGTGAGAAAAGGAAATTTCGACGCCTGGATCGATTGGTCCAGTCTCAGGACCGATCGTCAGGCACATTTTTGGGCCGAGCAATATTTTGCTCGTAACCCATAGACCGTCCGGTCTGGTGATGCGCACGCACCGAGTCTTATATTTAGTATCCGATCCGTACCACTATCCGCAAGTATACGGTAGTTGTAGTACCGGGGTCGAACACGAGGACTAGGATGTATTAGTCTACTTCTAAGCTAGATTAGGTGGTCAAGTAAAAATATGGTTTGTGGTAAGTATCGGAATATGAGAAAGCGATAAAAATTAACGGTTTGTAAAACGACGGTTTGAAGCGTTGTAGGTTCGAGATCCCTTAAGAATCGCATGGACGGTTAGTGATGCTACAATGCCTATGAGTTTATCTTCCAATTGGGGGTTTCAAGCACTTCCTCTAGAGTTTGTCTGAGCCAAATGATTTCTAGATGCATTAATGTACCCCATCATGAACCCTAAGCAAGCTAAGCCATCTCCCAATGTGAATAACTCACTCATTTGACATTTGGTTCCAAACATCATTCCCATATCCCTATGATCAATGTGTTCTACAATCATATCAAT